TCCAGACCTCCCTTCTCCCAGCACCTCCTCATTGCCCTTGAGGAAGCTCTAACTAGGACTGATGAATCACTATTCCCCCAAAGACCACCAGTACTAATCTCACTGGGAATTATAACTCTGTGTTCTTTAAACACAACCAGAAATTCAGGTTTCCCAGAGCATCATGGTTACTCTTATCCACAGACAGGTTTATATTACCCAAACTTCTACACATCCCTGACCTTCAGCCATATAATTACAGAGCTTAGTGCAAAAGGCAAATGTAGAGCCCTTTGTTCAAAGCTTGAGATTTTTGTGATGGTATCAGCAAAACATTAAAACATGCATGGGACCTTTCTAAGTGACTACACAGTTATATGCTCTTGAAGACAGCTCCCCATGCCCAAACCATCTCTTTTAGTGCCTCACACTATCATCTGCAAAATCCCCTGTATTATCAATTTCATTTTAAAATTTCCAGAGAATTCACCTTAATCTAACAAAAACATAGCTGTTCCTTGAGGAATACTGTTAGAACACACCTCGCACAGTGCCTAGGGGGGGAGTAGAAGTCCTCTTTTTTCCTCCTTGCTTTCCCTTTTTAGAATGTTCTCTTCCTTTTTTCAAAAACACATTTTCAAAGAAGCAGCCCTCCATGTGTCCACACCACCCAGAATCCCACTTGGTCACAGTAATCTAAATGTCTCTCCAATGTAGCACTTAGTAGGTGCTCAAAAGTATGCATTAGAAAAGTTCATGAATGACTCATACAATTATTTTTTAAAAAACTGAGTAGAATACTAATTCTACTTGCCCAACTGCATTGCATAATTTAAGTGTTTTGCCTGAATCACTTTATACTTTCTGTTTGCATTATCTACATATTTGCATTCTATGTGCTGCATACATTTTGTTAGAAAATGGGCCAAAACTGGCTTGTTGTGATGCCAAGTTGAAATATATATCCTAAATATTTATGATTATTCTTTTACAAAGTTGGCAGGGAAGAGAAAGATGGAGTCACTTGATACAACTTCAGGAGTAGATGCCTGTCCCTTTCGTAGTTTCTAGTACAGTAAAAGGAAAGGAAAGGAAAGGAAAAATATTTTAGAAGAAAGAGAACCCAGTCTCAGCCTGGTAATGCTTGTGCCTGCTCATTGCTTCCAAATACTGCCCTCTGCTGGCTAGATGGTGCTAGAGTGCTTATTAACAGAAAGCTTGCTTATGAAAAGAAATGGCATAGATGAAGACGGAGACTATAAATAGTGAGACAATGGAAATTAGGGAAAGATAAATATGGGAACAACAATGGGAAAGAAAGTTTATACCCTTCCCAACTTTTATGCCTGGCCATGTTTTTTCCTATAGAGGTCATCTTATTTAATGTCCTCCTGAGCAGAAATAGGCAAGTCACACAACCTGTTTAACTTGCATGAGTTCTTCCTGAAAGCTGGGAACTTGGAAGGAATGAAACTAAAACTGATCTTTTCATTGTCAACACCTCCTTCTTTGCTTGCACACAAATCCTGCCCCCACCCTTCATCTTTGTCCCAGCTGTTCCTCTGATTTGCTGTCCCCTGTTGTTCTCCCAGATGTACCCCCCCACACACACACACACACAACATAGCACACCCACTCAAATAGTTCAGAGCTTTCCCTGATCACACGAACCAGGTAAGGGCTTCCTTTGCTCATTGCTGAAAGATAGACTGAATTGGTTTACAGCCTCTGACTCTGGGTTCTCTACCTCTCTGGAAAAGACCACATTGTTGACAGAAGTTGGCAATTAATAGTGTTGGGGTGGGGAAGAGGAAGAGAAACAGTAACTTGAGCCAGAACAAGTAATTAAAACATGAACTTTGATAACTGCCTTTAAGTTGACCCCACAGTCTAGAATGCTCATGGCTCTGCACTTGCCCTCATCATGTTAAATGTCACTGACCACCAAGTCGGTTGCAGAGCTTCCCACCATGTTTCCCTTTACAGCACATCTAGAAAGTGTAATATCGACCCAGCACATTGGGGTTAATCAGTAAGGCTGCTTATAGCCAGAGGTGACTGGCGCCCTAAGCCCTAGAAGACGGTATGGAGGACCAAAGGAATTAATGTGTTAGTGTGCTAATCACAGGCACATTGGTTAGGAAACTGTGGTCTAGCAAATACAACAGAGGAAGGCAAAGTAACACACCTTATCAAATTATCAGGAAATCCTGTGGACAAACCCCAGGGAGTAACAAAGAAAAACAGGCCAATTTGAGTGGAAACAAAACATACCCACTCCTCAGTCCTTGGAGTTCCACAGTCCCTATGGGTTTTTTTCCTTGGCTGTCCTCTAGTGCCCCTGCTGCCTTTACCATTTTACTCCTTCAGAGACGGCTGCAACTCCCCTCTTGTGAGTTTCCTATGACTTAGTGCTCCTGTCTGTGTTGGCTGCAAGATTTAGAACCTGTATGGCCCCAATGGGCACAGTTGCACTCGGTCTTGTGTTAACTGATGTTTTATTTGAACAGAGTGGCCTTCCAGGGTTACCTACCCCTTTGCTAGTTAAAAAAATCACAATCCTAATCCCCATTAGATGAGGTCAGGAATTCCAGTCCTCTGAAGACTCTGAAGGTCACTGAAAAGTATGTATAGGTAGTGGCTATTGTTTGCCACCTGATGCTTCTAGTGGCCACTTTGCATGTTTCAAGAAGTTTCACCTTTTTTCTTGGTCTATTTGTCTTTTTGTAGACCTTAGCTCCCCTTTTAATTTTTTTTAATTGTTCTAATTAGTTATACATGACTGTAGAATGCATTTTGACACATTGTATACAAATGGAGCACAATTTCTCATTCTTCTGGACCTACATGGTGCAGAGTCACTCCAGTAATGTAGTCATACATGCATAGGGTAATAATATCTCATTCCACTGTCTTTCCCATCCCCACATTCCTTCTATCCCCTCACACCCCTCTGCCCAATCCAAAATTCCTTCTTTCTTCCCTAGATCACCCCCCATTATGGATCAGCTTCCACTTATCAGAGAAAACAAATACCCAGAACAGATAATAGGTCAGAATGAATAATTAAACTTATTGAGGGCTTGAAGATAATATACAGAAGTAGAATTAGGATGCTGGAAAGAAACATGAATTGGTAACCGTGACCACTGCTTTTAAGACCACCAGTCTTATCCCAGAGTAAGGAATGCTTATCAGCTCTCGCCTCAAACTATCTTGCTGACATGTTTTTGTAATTTCTAGACCCCCACCTGCAGGTGAGAGCTCACCTTGACCTAGTGCTGAGTCCAAAATTACAGTCTCTTTTTCCCCCCAAGCTCTAGCCAAAGGATGAAAAGTCAAGTTTATTCTATAATAATTGCCCAGTGTCAGAGATCTTCCCCAGTAAAGGTTAGGGTTAGCCATATTCTTTGCAAAATATTCTCTCAACTTTTTGTCCCAACTACCCTTATGAGACTAAATGGAGGACTAAACTTTTCATATCAAAAATATCCTAATATTATTCAAATAAAAACTTACAAAGTCTTTCCTCTAAAAAATAATGCTTATATTATTAATCTACAAAAATAGTTGCAAGTTTTTAAAATTTCACCTTTTTTTCATCCTAATTTACCAATTTTTCCTGCCTTTATCGCAAGAACAATATCTTGTACTCCTGGATTTGTGTCCAAATACTGTTCAGTTTCTATGAGAAGGAAAGCAGTCCCCCAACAAAAGCCAGGAGTAGATTTATGTTTGATTTGCATTATTGTTCCCCAAATCTCTAGTCACTTCTTCCTGCTGCCACAATTCCCAGGTTCTCTTGCACTTGGATACATCCACCTGGCCCAGATGTTGCCAGTGAATGTAATGATGAGCATTTCTTGCAGGTCTGCAGTACAAACCAAATGAGTAACTCCTTATTCTTTCGTGCTTTGGATTGGGCTGAAAGAGGAGGATCCCCTGCCTCCCCAGGGTAACTGTTGAGATCTGCTTGTTGAATGCTAAAACTGGTAAGTGCTTCACCAACTTACGGTCATGGATAATTCCATGAGGTAAACACCTCACTAAATTGACTACTTGCCCACTGCTCTTTTTAGAACAAGAAATAAGCCTCTATTCTATGTAAGTCATAGTTCTGTTTGGGGTCTATATGTTATAGCAACTAGCTTACCTTAACACAACTATAAATGGATAGCCTGTCAATCAGAGATGCCCCTACTCAGATGTGAAGTTACCAGATGGGAAAAGGGACACTAACTGTTAAGAAGAGGCCCACTTCCCATGCTCTTTTGACTTCCATTTCAAAATTTGTCTAAATTTGTGCCACATGGATGTCATTATTCTGGACAAAGACATAATACTTCTAGGAATATTCTTTAAAATAACTATATCACCTGAAAGAATTCATTCAAGCATAATCTCCTGTGAACTGCCTAGGAAACCCAAGTGTTTCAGATTTCTTTCTAAGGAAATTACTTGTGAAAAGTTAAAGGACACAGGCAGTAAAATGTAAAGGGGCAGGTTGGGAAAGGAGGAGAAATAACTAGAGCATGGATCTCTTGAGACTTTGCTCCAACAGAAACAAGTCTGGGCAGAGGTTGGTAGGTGGTGGCAGTGGAATAGTAGGAAAAACATTAAAGGTGGGACAGAGGGCAGAAGTTTCAAAGAGAGGAGATGAAAGTACTAAAGGCAAATTTACTACTTGATAAATTATCAAGCAACAACTCAGGGGCTTTTGCCCACCCTTTTCCTATACTTCAAGCAAGTAATTTTGATGGCTCACATTATTTTTTAGATCTGCACAGAGTTTCTCAGAAAAGCTGTGGGGGAAAAAAATCACAAGAGAGCTTTGGAATGTTTAAAAACAAATATGCGCCTTTAGGTGTTTTGGCTATTTTTTAGTCAGTACCTTATTTAAAAATACAGTTACCACATAGTTATTTTCTTTCTGCCACAAATGAAAACAAATATGATTTTCAGACAAAACAGGTGGGCAAGACCTTGGGGCTATTAATGGTAAAAATCAGTTACCAAATAACTGCATTTGTCCATTTATTGTTATTTTTAGAACAAGCACATACATATGACAGAAAATATAAAAGGCAGTATTTTCCTTTAAAACATTAAAAATTGTCATCCAGAATTTACATGTATTGCAAAATGATGATATATCCAAGGGTATGAAATCCTGGATCGAGTTTTCATAGGCTATTTGCCCTAATGAGTGTTGTCTAGTTGTCCTCTCACTAAAACAATGGAGGTGGACAGTGTCCCTCCTGGATTCAAGAGCTCTACTTCTCTGATGAACAGATTTTATTGGTTCTACCATGTGTCACATATCTATATTTTGTGTTAGTTGTCAGTTGTTGCCGTTGATGATTACTACAAACTTTGTGACTCAAACAGCAGAGATTTTCTTACAGTTCTGTATGGTTAGAAGTTCAACTTTGGACTTACCTGATAAGAACATGGTGTTGGCAAGACTGAATTCATTTCTGGAGATTTGGGTGGGTGGCAGGCTCCATTTCCTTGCTCCATTTCATGTCATTTGGAGAATTTGATTCTGTGCATTTGTGGGACTGAGGCCCCGGTTTCTTTGCTGGCTATCATCTGGGGGCTGCCCTTAGTCCCTACAGTTATCTTTTGGCCCTTATATATGGTTCCCTTCATCTCAGAACCAACAATGGATCGTTAAATTCTTCTTATGCTACCATCTCTCTTACCTACCTTACTGCCTTCTTCCTCTTCTGCATTTAAGGATCCAAGTGATTAGAATGGTCCTACCAGGATAATCCAGGATTATCTTTCAATTCCAAGGTCTATAATCTTAATCACATCTGAATAGCCTCTATCATCTATCTATCTATCTATCTATCTATCTATCTATTTTGCCACTGTGACCAAAAGACCTGACAGGAATAATTTTAGAGAAGGAAAAGTCTATTTGGGTCTCATGGTTTCAGAGGTCTCAGTCCTTAGATGGCTAACTTCATTGCTCTGGGTCCAAGATGAAGCAAAACATCAAGGTAGAAGAGTTTGAAAGAGAAAAAGCAGCTCAGGACATGGCATTAAGGAATTAGAGCTCTTGCTCACCAGGGACAAAATACATATCTCAAAAACATGTCCCTAGTGACTCACCTCCTCCAGTCACACCTTACCTGCCTACAGTTACCACCTAGTTAATCCCTATTAGTGGATTAGTGCATTTATTAGGTTAAGGCTCTCATATCCCAATCATTTAATCTCTAAACTTTCTTGCATTGTCTCATACATGAGCTTTTGGGGGACACTTCATATCTAAACCATAACATTGAGCATCAGCATATTTGGGGACTACTAATTTGTCTAGCATTCTCAGCTAAGAGGCATCTGAAACAGCTTGACCTATAGGGTAATCAGTGTGAATCAATGATGGTACTTAACTCCATGATACCCAGCCGGTTCTCAATTACCCTGGCATTTAAGCTCACATTCAAGCTTATTTTTCCACTAAGTAGGACTGAAAGGCATTGTCAGAGATTTTGTGGAATTTTGGGCTTCCAGCTCCTCTCCCTGAACACCCTTCTCCTTTTAACCAAAAAGAATAATAGCTCAAATTGAAACCATTCAAATTCAACCTTAGTGGGATGTCAAAACTAAGTTTACCTGGATGTGGAGAGCATGAGACTTCATTACACTGGAATTTGAATATTTTTTTGTAATACAATTTTAAAAGAACAAGGATAAAAGTGTACCATCCTATGATAACAGTGCTTTTTTCTCATGTATATTCTCTCTTCATGACCCAATTGGCCTCTGCTGGAAACTTGACTGCTTTTCATTTGTGTTGTTTCTTCCAAGTGCAGAAAAATCTCGTTTTCTATTTCTCGCCACAGAGAGCAGGCAGGGCTAGCAGAACCAAGCTTAGTGATAAGGGAAGGTGGACCACTGCCAGAGGAGGGAAAGGACCTCTCAGGACTCGGGAAGGAAAGGGCTGAACTTCCTGCCCTGACGTGATATGGGATTCAAGCCATGTGAATTAGTTTCAGTCAGGAGTATTAAAAAAATACTGCAAATATTAGTAGAAGACAAGTACAGAAAGACCAAAGGCAGTTTTCAGGGGATAGAGGTCTTTGGATGTCTGCTTTTTATCTATTCCTTGCTCACAAATGGCTCTGATTGTCAATAGCAATTTTTATTTCAATAAAGGAACTCAGACCAGTATACCCCAAGCCAAAGCAGTTCAACAGGGAACCATCCTTAAGACCCCATTTGTAAATAATAATAATGATAAATACTATGATGGGACCTGAATAGCCTTCTGTGATGGATCTGAAGGACTTGTGCTTGCACATAGTATAAAATTTCCCATTTATATCCCCCCCACAAGGTTGTGCTTATTTAGTCCCCTTCTAATAGGACATGTCCTGAAGTTTTGATGTGAATTCAAGGTGCAAATGAGTACCATCTGACCAGGCAGGGCAACAGCTCGGGAGGCTGAGGCAGGATCGAGAGTTCAAAGCCAGACTCAGCAAAAGCCAGGCACTAAGCAATTCAGTGAGACCCTGTGTCTAAAAAAAAAAAAAAAAAAATACAAAAAAGGGCTAAGGATGTGGCTCAGTGGTTGAGTGCTCCTGAGTTCAATCCCTGGTACTCACTCCCTCTCCAAAAGAAAAAGAAAAACAAATTCTGGAATTCTTTCTGTGACCTCAGCTACAGAAGAATTCAATTAAAATTTGTCAGTGCTAGGTAACGGAGTGAGGAGGGAATTGCATCATTGTTGATGCCTGTAATAACATTAATCCCACACCAGTAGTCACCTGGGTTAGCTCAGAGTTCCAAATACCTTCATCTAATATCTGCTCTTCATCATATTGGGGAATATCTTCAGGAACTCTTTCAAGGTTAAATTCATGGCTCATGGAGGTGCTAACCATTGTTAAAGAACTATTTTTAAAATTATAAAGATCTTTGCAGATGTCAACTCATTGGGAGAGGGCAGTTGGTAGAGATCAGGTGAGCTCTTTCCTATTAATGTTAAGACTTTGATGACTTGTGTTGAAAATGGACCAGAACTCTTGAATTGAGGTCATTGTAACTATGCTTGCTCCAGATTTAATTCCATGGAACATCTGTAGCTTAGATGAGGTGGAACCATACATGAAACCCCACAGAGAGCACCTTGATGTATCTCAAGCGGGCTCAGTGTTCTCTGAGGATGAACAATTCATGGAGCCTGTTCTTTTCAGCCACTTCACAACAATACTTCATTTGTGTTGTTGACACAACACAAGACTTCATTCATATAGATAAAAACACTGTTGTTTGATTTATCATACCCATGAATATCTTTAAGGCTCTGAGTGGCCATTCAGTTCAAAGTTGTGGGCAGAACTTTTGCTTTATCTCCCCTGATATTTAATTTCTGAAATATCAGCAACACACAGAAATATCTTTTGAAACCCCTAACACAAATGCAGGTCTAACTCATTGTTACCTGTCTAAGATAAACACAGACCAGCAGCAGAACAATAAATATCCCAAGATTTCCATTTTTTTTTTTAGTTACTAGACATTGTGCAAGAATTTTTACCTTTGTCTGATCTTCTGTTATTATGGCTAATCATATTAATAATGCCACCAGGCATAAACAAAGACAGATATGATTGTAAACTCAGAAGCCGGAGAGTCCTAAATTTGTTCCCTAATCTATCCTATAACTCAAGCTCCGTGTGACCTTGAGTCAGCTGTTTAGTCTAAGCATCAGTTCCTTATCTGTAAAATAAGGATGATGATATCTACTTGTAGGGCTCAAGTAAGATGTATATAAGCTGATATACACAAAATACTTAGCCCACTGCCCAATCCATAGACCCTCAGTATATGTTAAATTCTTTCATCATTTTAGTCAAGATAAAAGAAATAGTGCCATATCTTTTACAAGATTCTCAATCCAGGGTATCTACAGAGTTTTTAAAAAGTTTGTTTCTTGCTTCCTTTGGAGCAGGCAGGAAAAACAGAACAATTAGCACAATTATCCTAACCCAACCCTGTATAATAAGTAGATGTATGACCAAAATATTAGGTTGAATGAATTTGCCTGTATAATTTGGAGCTGATTGTGCTGTGTAAAGTCATGGATGCAAGGCTTGCAAGAACCCAGTGGATCCAGAATGGCCCTGAAACTCAGCCATAAAATGAACAAAGATCTTAAGCAAGACTGCTGGGAGTCCATGCCATGCCATGCTGCCTGGGGGAGCAGCATTTCCTGGACAGAGCACCTCCCTGGCCCTGGCCTTCTCCCAGGACAGCCCTGCCTGGATGAATACACATTCAAGAGCTGTAAAATACAGAGCACTTTCACAACCCAATTACTGTGCATGGGACTTGGGTGGGGAGGCCTAAAATTTCCTGGCAGACTTTTAGACCTCAACAATGAAACACCTATAAACCCCTATGAGGGCATAAAGAGCTCTTGCTAGACTTATCTTCTATAGGAGGCAGGAGCTGGCTTCCACCCATTGTGATGAATTGTACTGCAGCATCTCCTGCCAACGAGGGTGGCACTGGCTAGGAAATCTCCAAAGCATTCCTTGCCATTATCAAGGGAATGTGAGTTAGATACGGTCCCTGTACTTTAAGTCCTCAGCGCTTTTTGAAAATGTCTGTCTTGAAGGATTTCAAGGAAAAAAGAAACTTCCCAACCAATAGCTCGATGTCAAAATGTCCCTGGATCAGAAGGCATAGGGATAGGAAGGAATCCAGTTCTTGCTGGGACTGAAGGAATTGCCTCCAGTTGCCCTCAAAACCTCTGTTGGCTTAACAATCATCCTAATTGTGAAGTTCAAAATCTTGTTCAGGAAAGTAGAATGCAGGAAAAATAGCAACGATGGGCTCAGAAATTTCCTTTAGATAAAAACTGCAGCTCTGATAAAAAACAGCTCGCTTGTAATTCTGCCTGACAAAAGTGTGAAACGGTCCCCAGTGTACGTAAGCACATGCAGCTGCTTGTTAAAGCCAAAGCACTCGCCCCATCCCATAATGGTGGTCAAACACTCTCACACCAAAGGCTGGGCCTCCCAGGCTGGGCCAGCATTTAGTCAACTCCAGTTTTCTGTGTTTCCTCTTTTCACCTCCTTTTTCTCCTTCCCACTCTAGCCCAGTTTGGTTCAAAGGGATTAATTCCTGTAACACTCCAGTGGAGAGAAAAGGGCTTTACTTGGCAGCTTTGGGTTTACAAGATCGCTGGTGAACAATCAGTCTGTCTGGCAGGAAGGTACGCCCACATATATTGCAGGGAACCAACTGGCTCTGGGCACTTGTCCAAGCAGCTTCATTTAAAGCATCGAGATCATAGAAACCTTTGGCTGGAAAGTTAAAGAAAAAGAGAAAGAAAAAAATGAAAAAAATAATAATAAAAAAAGAAAAGAGGGGGGAAACAGTAAAATGAATTAGTTTTCATTCTGGAAAACCATATTCTACTTTTTATGGAAAATATGTTCAGGAAATACCTGTTGACTGAGGTTTTTAAATAAATCATATGACTTTTGCCAAAAATAAATAAATAAATAAAAAGCGCTGCTTGCTGTTTCAAGGGTTGAGTCAAGTTAGCCATGAACCAGAGGTTTTTTACTCTTTGGACGTAAAAAGGGGAAGACAATGTTTTATGTGTTATGATATGCATTCTTCACTAATTATTAACATCTTTGCTTACATATTATTATCTTGCAAATATAACTTTTGGCTTTCTTTCAGCTGACTCTAAATATAAACTTACAGCGGTAAAAGGACATGTATTTGTATTTTCCTTCTATAATCCTTTAGTGGAATGTTTTTGGAGGCCAAAATTGGACAATTGAGAGTGAATTTAAGATGAATTATACCCTAAAAATTTATCATCTTTTCATAGCTGTGAACTTAGAGATTCTTTAAGTAATTAAGTGAAGAATGAAAATAGAATTCTTAATCTGATGAAAAGAAGTGTTCTTAAGAAAACAAAGTAGACAGTTGGAGAAATATAGAATCTTCATTGGCAGAGCATAGCGGAAAAAGGCATATGGCTTTATTTTGAGAAACAATGTGGGATTTAGCTTTAATAAGCCTTATTCAAATAGAGTGACTTTGGTATATTAAATTGACTATGTCTTAGAATCATCCAAAATAGACCCCCAAAATTTAGCCAAGCACTCAAAAATGTATTACTTAGTTTTTATCACTGGCAAGGCACATATTACTTCATTAAAGCCTACGCAATCTCATATGATTTCTATCTAGTGGTTCACACAAACATAACAAACCTTAGATTCTTAACATGCTTTCTCCTAATGTTCTTTATTTTTTTGCTCCATGGGAATTTAAACCCCCAAACAACCTAGTATTTCTCCTTTGGATAAAGAAAATATTACTTTCTATGTAGGATATAAATGTGTGTTTTGAGTGCTTTGAAAACTCTTTGAGAAAAGGACTGCACTGACTTTCTTATTACTCATATGAGTTTTAATACAGACTAAAAAATTCCAGAGTAGTCATTGATTCTAACTTGAAGGTGATTCATCACATTTCTAAATGTTTTTCATGGTGCTTTGACTCTGGATCTGGAGCAAGGGTCATTTGAACTCTACGAAAAAGTCCATGAGTGGAGAACAGTGATGTGCATTCTATTTACCTAGGGATGAAGAGCACCTTCAGAGATAATAGTAGCATAGGATCAAGAGAAAAAGTTCAGGGAAGTAAAATTATAGGATCTACTTTTTCTGTCATAAGCAACAACAAGATAGTATCCCACCAGGGCTTTTGAATCACCATTCTTCTTACTTCTTTTAGTTTTGGGATAATTATGGTCAAGCACAGAAAATGGTAAAGATCAGAAGGAAAGGAAATAGATTTTGACATTGAGAGTGAATTTAAGATGAGAATTGTTGGGAAGAGATTTTCAAGAAGGTAAACAATCTGGCTGTGGGCAAGTGTTCTACCTTCTATAGGTGGATGTTTTCATCTTGAGCTCTTTTGCCACCTGTCTGCAAGGACTGTGGATAGTTCCATTCTAGCAGCATCTAGAACTTTATTATGACAATCTAGATTTTGCTCTAGATTGTCGTTATTATGACAATCTAGATTTTGTTGTTATAAACTCTCCTTGACTCACATCTTAACAGGAATGTTGGACTAACTGACAGTAAAATGACCTCCAAGGTACCTTTTAGCACTTGCACATCTATAGATACACAGGAGAATAAATGAACTAAAAGATACTCCGCTTAAAACCAAAAATTTCCTTTGAAGAGAATGAGGAGTGTAACTGAGAAAACAACAATGGTGGAAATATGGTGAGTCTGAGCTCACATGGCAAAAATATTCTATAACTGTTATGTAACATCCTAAATGAGTAAATATGAGGTTCTGTGACAAAGTCGCATGTGACAGTTTCATTTAGTTTGCACAGTGCTTCACAAATTATTAATTGCACACATTTTAAAAATGTGGATATTTTGTATGAATGTCTACATTTCCAGTTTCTTTTGTATTACTGATAGATACGGACACATTGGGCTAAATTTCTTAATGATAGCCCCAGCTGTTCCTGGGCAGCTGCTATTTCCTTTGGAGAGAGCTGATGCTCTCCAGCTCACCACAGTCCCCACCTTTCCTTGTCTTCATTTTTTCCTTCCCCTACACACAGACCCATTAATTAATTTGTAACCTGAGGATAGCGGATCCTGTAAGCACTTAAATTTGTTATCCCTGCTCTGCAGAGACACGTTCATATGTAAAATCAGGACTCTAGATTCACCAAAGGTTTTTAAGCTTTATGTTTTTTTAAGTGTTATGTGTGATAATATATGCAACTAACTCTTGGAAAATACAGTAAATTCCAGCGGTCCCTCTCATGCAGTCTTGCCAGGACATAGTGTCTTTATGTCTCAGCATCTGAAGACAACCCTTTGCACGGGCATTCCACTACTGTTTTCCTATTTGGCTGAAGCCAAGGCAGTAAATGTTGCTGATTTTAGGTGTTTGAACAACTAAAAAAAAAAAAGAATACCTCTACTTATAAGTTTAGAGAGAGAAGCCTCCCCTCTTGTACTCAAGTCACTCTAAGGACTTACCAGTAATGGTCCTGATTTCTGGTTTCTTTGGTTCTGGTCTCCTTAGCTCTTTAGGCAACAAGTTGTTTTCATTATGCCACTTTTTCAGGCATTGTGGCTCATGGATGCTAATAGATTTGGTTCCATATTCACGACCACAAATATAACAAACAACTGTTCGTGGACACTTTATCATTGTTGGCTGCAAATAATATGAAATCTGTTAGATAAAGTTTATAGTTGAAAACTATATTTTAAAACATACTATATTTAAGGTGGCTGGGGTACGGCTCAGTGGTAAAGCCCTTACCTCCCACATGTGAGGCACTGGGTTCCATCCTCAGTACCACATAATAAATAAACAAAATAAAGACACTGCATCAATGTACAACTATATATATATATATATATATATATATATATATATATATATACACACACATATACACACACACACACACACACATATATATATATATACACACACACATACACACACACACACACATATATATATATACATATACATATATATAGTATATTCAAATTAGCTGGAAAATCAATATTACTTCTGAAAATTTCCAACCACTGTGGTGAATTTAACCTTTTTTGGTAACTAAGGAACCAAACTATGTTCTGAGTATATGTGACTTTGGAAGGAAATAAAAAAGAGGCAACCGGAATTCTCCATATTGGAATTATATAAAACGTATTTCCTCATTTAGCGAATATCAGTTGCCTTCTAACTATGACATCTGAGTCACAATGCCGGGAGAATACCAAGTCAAGCAAGAATTCTTCTTTCAGTAACATTGGTTCTCATATGTTCATATGCCTGAAAAATAAAGTACCGTTAGAGAGTTTAAAATAACAGTTAGTTCTGCCCAAATATCTCATTGCTTGTGTTTCTCTGTCCTTTTTCATCTGGAACAAACTCCCACTGGCAAGACTATTAATCAATAATAGATGAGAGTTGGTGGATAAATACCCATGTTCTTCACTAAGGTTGAGTCCAGCTTTCCAGAAGTTCCCAGTGAGATTGTACCACAGTTTATACTACAATATCTCTTTTATCTCTCTCCTCTTATTTCTTTTTCCTTTTTTTTTTTTTTTTTTGGTTGTTATTGTTGTTGCTGAGAATTGAACCTAGGGTTTTGTGCATGGAAGGCAAGCACTCTACCAACTGAGCTATATCCCCAGCCCCCTTCTCCTCTTGTTTCTTTACTGGGGTATCCTGGATCACTTTCCAAATGAACTGCTTGAACTCAAATCCCTTTCTTAGTTTTGGGGGAACCAAACTCAAGTTCCCCCAGACTTGGTTTCTGGGGGAGCCAAGTCTAAGTGAAAGTTATAAAATGCAGTAAAGAATTTCTTGCTTCTGTTTTGAATACAAAAAGGCACAATAAACAATGATCCTACCCGAAACAATGAGAACAAATCATATAGCCTACAGAATCATAAGCTTTAAGCCCACTGGAGACTCAAAGTTGTGATGTCAGGAAAAGAAATAAAACACTAAGGTAGCAGGCTTAAGTTCAAAATATTAGTAATTCAGATAAATATAAATGGCTCTAAAGAGAACAATTAAAATACACAGATTGCCAGATTGGATAAAAAAGAAAAAAAGCAAGACTCAACTCTTGTGCTGTTTACAAGAAATACATTATATGCACATAAAGATGCAAATAGCAAATAAATGAACAAATAAATAGAGAGATGCAAATAGGAGACAAACAAAAGAATAGAGAAAATAGTCCATATAGTCTATGTAAACACTAAGCGAAAGAAAATTGGTGTGACTATGTTAGTAAAATGTGGTTGGAGTTCAGAGGATAGAAAAATTTCTTTCAGTTGTGAAGATCAGGGAAAGGTTCAAAAAGGTAGCGTTTGAAAAATGCATAGACTTTAGACCAAAAAGACTGGGAAGGATGAAGAAGGCTATTAGGGACATGCAGAGCCTCAGGGACAGTAATCAGAAGGTGAGTCTAAAGAGAACAGATAATTTGCTAGCCTGATGTTCAGTGCAGCATTGGGAACTAGAAATAGGTATAGAACAGCTGTATTTTATTTTGTAAATTATAAGAAGTTATTAAGCAGGAAATAAACTATAATTGTGCCTCAAGAAAGTTAGTTTGTTGGGGTGGGGTCGTAGCTCAGTGGTAGAGCTCTTGCCTAGCATGTGTGAGGCACTGGGTTCGATTCTCAGCACCACATTTTTTTTTTTATTGTTGGTTGTTCAAAACATTACATAGTTCTTGATATATCATCTTTCACACTTTGCTTCAAGTGGGTTATGAACTCCCATTTTTCAGCACCACATTTAAATACATAAAATAATGGTCCATTGACAACTTTAAAAAATAAAAGAAGAAAGTTTGTCTGCTCAGGGCTAATAGGACAGCATATTTATGAGAGTCTGGGCATTCATGGCTCAGGAAGTAAGAAAATAATATGTCCAAGAAAATGTCAATATTTTATTTTGATGATGGGGAAGTTGGTGATGTCATTTACAGAAAAGGAGACAACAGAAAAGGCAGTTTGGTAAAAGAGAAAAACATTGATTCTGTTCTGGACCTGTGGAGTTTGATATCCTAGTAGAATTTAATGTGAATAAATTCAGCCAAAACAGGAAATGTAGGCCTTCAATTCAGGATTAATGGATTTTGGAACTATTCACACAGAAAAAGATGTTTAAAACAGGAAAATTCCAGAAAAAGATGGCATTATAGAAAGCATACAGAGAAAAATTCCTGGTAGGATAACTGTAATAAAGATATTGAGACAAAGGATGTTGCAGGTAGAAAACAGTTTCAAATTTGCAGTTAAAGAAACAGGGCATGGAGAAAAAAATATTGCTCAGAATTCTGGAAATACTTTCTGGTTTCCGGAAAGATGTTGTCATCCACTCTGTCAAATAGTACAAAAAGTAATGGGTAGCTGAGAAAAGGATATTAGATTATATGTCAGCATCCTTTGAGTTTGGATCCAATGGAGTGGTAAAGACTACATTGTGAGGAATTAAAAATTAAGTCAAGGAAAGAAGAAGCACATTATAAGAAAGGATAAAAATGTCACAATGAAATCATTATTTTGTACAATTAATATGCACTAATCATTATAATAATGATTTTTTAAAAGCTTGAAGAAAGGAAACTTGAGTAGAATTGAAGAAACATCACTTTTGTTGGTTGTAGAATAAGATGTCTTAGGCAGAGACAACAGGTCCAAGAGAAAATTGGGTAATTTATAGAGAAAGATCCCAGAGAAGGGAGAGGGGAAGATGGAATCAAGGGCATAACTGGAGGAGCTGAGAGTAACTGATGAAGATCACACAGATGAACTTGACCTTCTACAGTATGAAGCAAACTATCTTCAAAGAATGAAGAGATTCCTACTCTGGGAATAGAAGAGTGAAAAATGATGTGATTAGACATCTTGGAAATTTGATAGTGATTCAATTAGGAAAAACTACTTACCAATTAATGTAAAAGACTTGGTTAAGAGAACTGCAAGAAATTTCAGAGAAGTAAAATGACCTCTTCAGTATATTCTTTAATAGCACCAGGAGGCAAGAAAACAGAAACAAATTAAATTGATGCTATAGTCCCCTTTGGGGGAATAAAACATGGTAAAATGTGTATGTTTTAGAATCAACCTGCTCTTAACTACGACTACTGGGAATTACTTCTTTGAAATGGAGGAAGCACAGAGTAAGAGCAAGATCAAAATCAGAAGGAAACACAAGTACAGTTTTTGCCTACCAGAAATAAAAACAGATTCTGAGTAAATACATAATTAACATAGATCAAGCAAAGTGAAAATCGGAGTTACTTTCTAAATGATCCAAGTTTTTCTAAAAGCATATTATTTGAGGTAGAATATCTTTATTTTATAGTAAATTATGCCAATAAACTATCTAAACTAATCAGAATAACTAAATAGTTGTTTATCTTTTTTTGTGTTTTTGCCATATATCAGGGTCTAACTCTTGAAAAGTAACTTGAATAGCACTTGGGGAATTCAAGACCTAAGAGAATATATTAAGTGTAAGCAATAATTTTTAAGTTATTGGAACTTGCAGCTGTAGGTTCCCTACTAATTTTTAGATGTTTATTTACTTGAAAGGTTAATTAAATGCATATTTTTTTCATTGAAAAATGAAGAGTTATTCTTTCTACTTTGAGAATAGTGAATTAAAATTCTACATGGAAAATATGAGCCAAATCCAGTATTTAACCAAGCATATAAGCAAAACAAATGACATGGGTCATGAGTGAAGACATTCGTGTCAATTTGTCAGAAATTTTCCCCTGGAAGGGAAAGTTAGAAGAAAACAGGCAGAAACAAGCCAGAAGACATGCACAGAACAACTGAAGGAGATGTGAGAGAAAATTAATACCACAAGGGGCTGAGATATCCTATATTATATTTTCCAAAGCTTCCCCTACGCTCCATATTTGTGGATGAACTTCAGCTGAACCTGCCACATATGGCATGTTATTGGGTCTTGAACATCTTACTTCTAAGCTCTGTTCAGGGAAGTGCAAAAACAACACAGCTACAATTGAAAAGAAAAATGTATCCCCATGGGTCTGAACAGAGAGATAGATAACCTATTTTATTTTTCATTAGTTTTACATTGTTAGCCTGAAACTTCCAGGGAAAGCTGAGCAATCTCAGGCATATGTGGCTATTGCCACTACCCTAACTGCTCGGGTTTTACTATTTAAGGTCTTTCCTTCAGTGTTTTCAGAAAGAAGTGGATGTATGGGAGATGAGAAGGATGAACAGGAAGAAGAGACCCTGCTCTGGCAGAACAAACAGCGAGTCCTCTCTTGGCTAATGTGCACTCCAATAACTTCAGTGACATGGCTTAACAGAGCAAGACAAGGGCGGTAGAAAATCAGCGTAGAGGGTTATGTGAGGACATGAAGCCCTGTCCATATGGAGCTTGCTGGAGTCAGCCACCTTCAGGAAAGTGTAATCAAAGGAAGGTGAAGAAGAAGTCAGCAAGTCTAAAGTTTCTGCAGAGCAAAGGATTAGATTAAGTTTTCCTATCAACATTTCAAATAATATTTGTAGCATTACTTGTTAATATCAGGGTGAAAGGCTTTCTCTTTTAAAAAAGTTAATCATTAAATCTACATAGTGCTATTTCAGGTGTGAACTGTTCTCTGGGGGATGAGGAAATGTCTCTGCACA